ATATTGCAAAAGTCTACCAAAATGACCTGGGACTAAGGAAAGGACAGCCTAGTCGTATATGACTAACAGGTTCTTATCTAAATGTATACTTTTTATTCGCAAGCCCATTATCTCTTATCGGGAGTTTCTGGTCAACATAAAACAGTTAAGGGGGCATTAACTCCCCCTATCTTCCTAGCGTGTAGCGGCCAGCCCCCCTACGCGTTATACCTTCCCATCGTATCATTTTTATCACAGGATAAAGCTTTTATTGGGTACTAGGGGTCGGAAACGATTATTTTGTGTGGGTAATATCGTGGTTACCAATAAGTTAAAACCACTACGATCAATTTACGACTGGCGATTATCTATAGTTGGTTTGGGTTTATGGATAAGTTTGTAGTTTGGATATAATTATTTTAATACTTTTGATTTAGTTTACCTACAGTTAATTGCATTTGTGGACAAGTTGTGGTAATATAATCATTCGGATGTAGCTACTGTATATAGATTCAGAATATATGCTACAGTATGATAGCTAAGGCAGAACATACAATATACACAAAAATATCCATAATAAACTCTCGAGTGAACTCATGATATACTCTTTGGAAGTATTCTCAATATAAATAAGTGTGTGTTTGTGTTTTTGTACATGCTAACCATAAGTGGAGTTCCAGTGGAAAAGCCCTTTAGTTTTTATTACTTGAGCAGCAGAGTTACGAATACAGTTCCCAAAACTTATGCAACTATGTTTTTTATACGGTACCACATTCATTTTACTTTTTAATTTAAATGATGGCCTATAAGTAAAATAATGAACTGTGTTTGATTAACTGTTTATTTTACGAATGTATAATATGAAAAGCCATCAATTTTGCTGTCATGTTTTTTTGTGACAGGTTGCCGTAACTTAACTTTTGACTTACTGTAATTACAGCAAACATTTTAACCCAATTAGTTACAAATTCTTAACTCTACAGTTTAAGCTAAAAATGAAGGTAACTATCTTAGAGTAAAATTCGTGACAAATTTCTACATCATTGAGTCATACATTTGCATTCTTCTGGTTTGATTGAACTGCTTTTAATCTTCACTACTGAAACTTGAGTCGATTCTGTTTTACAGTAACGTTACAGTAATGATTCTGTTTTGCATCACACACATTCCAGGCGTTTGCCTGTCATTGGTTCGATGTAAACCTTTTGTTTAAAACGATTTCTATTTTAAACTAGTGGAGGAATGATTTATTTTGTTTTTGCCCATACAAAATAAAATGGGCTAGCCTTCTGAAAATGGTTCTAAGACATTATAATGATAACAAGTTGAGCTAAATCCTAATTAAATTTTAATTGTATTTATAAATTTAATATGTTTTTTATTTATTAAATTTTAATTTAATTTATTAAATTTTAATATAAGCTTTGTTAGTTTGGTTTGCTGCTAACAAATTTTATTAGAATCAAAGTTTGTCATATAGCTAGCAAAAAATGGTGGCCTAATGTTTTAGAAAAGACCAATTGAGGAAAATTATGAACACTCAGAAAGCGAATCTCCTTAAAGCTACATCTATACAAATAATTTTTAAATAAATTAACTAGTTCAATTTGTTTACAAGGCTTCTACATTAGTTTCAGAAAGTCCCAAATTATAAAATAAACCATCTCCCAAAAATAATTATTTGAGTAATTTATCCAAAAAAATATACATATACAGTATTACAAATCACCCTAACACTATGCAAAATAATGTTTCCAAAACGTGTAGAACCGCTAAATAATTTAACATTCACAGTTCCCAGGCTCCAAACCATCCATCCAATTGGCGTGAACGAGAGGTAACTAACGGGCATTTCGCACGTTTCCATTTCCCAGTGGGAATGAGGTAGGACAGAGGTAATGCCACTTTTCATTTCGCCTGCAGTGAAGACTGAAGACTGAGGAGGTACCAGTTGTGGTCGCCAACTTGTGTTCCTAACTGGTTCTAACAATCACCACTGTAATTGGGTAATTTGAGGATCCTACAGCGGCGCATGCTGCGAAGACTTGACGACTGCTGGACACGGGGCAAGTGGGTGCTGGGTAGTTTAGAATTTTGTTTAGCCTTTTTGTATTAAGCTTGAGTTGACAATAACATCCATTAGCTATGTAATAAAGAAAATAAATACACTTCTCAAACAGTTATACAAGGGTAAAGCTTTTTACAAACAATACGGTCTTAGTATTTACAGCCAGGGTTTTACAATATTCCCGTTCCTCTGGGTGAACAACTCTTGGTTGTTGTAACAGGATTATATTAAGTGGGTTGTAGGCATCTACGGAATGTTCACTGGTGTGATTATAATTTTGTTTAAAAGTATGGCCAATCTAAAATTGTAAAACAGTATTTTGAGGGAAGATGTAGCGTGGATAGGGATTTTTGCAAAGGCTTTTTTCCATTTAGGAAATTCTAGGTCGTTATTGTCTTGAGCTCTTTTGTATCAAATCAGAATATTATTCAGCAGGTAGAAATGTTACAAAAAATAGTGCCATGTGGAAAATTTAAAGTAATATTCTTCAAGCTATTTTTTATTCTTATGCCGTTCCTAACTTTTAGGGTTTTATTTTGAAAAAGATAGTGTAAGCTCGTCCTCGCACTTTTTCTAACTTGAGAACCAACTACTTATTACGACGTTCGATATGATGTCGGAAATCACTTGAAACACCATATCCTGGTAATTTGAACATTTCTAAGTGAAAGTGACCTCTACGGTATGAATCTCTCTGGTGTAGCACAACTGACAAGGGGAGTATGGGTTTGCGGCTGCATTACTTGGTAATGACATGTGACCGAACTGCAAATTTGGGGGCCTTGACTGAACCTTACCGGTTTGGCTGTTTGTCTCTCCCCAAAATGGACGTGAACTTCACGCCGTCTTCAGGGCCAACCGGAGTGAAGCTGGCACACTGGTCAGATTGGCATTTATCCTTACCTTTAAAACATGCCCTAGTGTAACATATATTTTAGGTAATTAAGATGTTTGTGATACATTTTTTATGTTTCAGATATGGACTGAAAATGTGACGCTGGAGTTAAAATGTATATAACAGTTATGGCCTTTCTTGTTAATTTACAGCTAGAGGGGTTTCCAGGTTGGAATTGTTGAACAACACTTAACTACAACAGTTGAAGTAAAAACTTTGATATTGTTTAAGTACTTAAGTGACACAACATTTAATTATGCATAGATTGGTATAGCTATGTTTGTACGTAATAAAATCAAAATATACCGATTAACTATTGAAAAATGGGTGTTTTCTGTTCTAGGAGGACTAGTTAAGGATGGGTTGGAACATTCGCATAACCACAAGAACTTCTAGGATTTTGAGTTCTTTCTCTTAGAAGCATTTAGTGTGTTACAATATGATGCCCCTGTATTTGAATATCATAAAAGGAACCAAACAGTAATTTCGTTTATACGTGTGTTTTAACAATTCATATATTTTTTACATATCATAAGGGGACTGTTGAAACCCTGGCTATGTTACTAACCAAAGTCAACCTTCTGTTAGATATCTGCACGTCTTGTGCTTGAACAAGCAATATTTAGGTTTGAAGGGCATCACTGTAATCAGTCATACCTAATTAAGTGTGACTACACCATCATGTTTGTAATTTTACAAAAGCAGCAATAAGATAAGATATTCAAAATCCCTGCACAACATTTGTCCTCCAACTACTACAGCAATACACTCGTTTTCACAACTCGCACGCAAGGTAATGAAACCATCTATCAAGTCTGTAAACGACTGTTACACGAAATGAGAAAATATATTTCCGATCTGAGGAACCTGACACAGCCATAAACAATGTTCGAGCAAGAACTTGGCGTGACTAGTGTGCGTGTGGAAACATTTGCGAACTTAATAGCTAATTACATTTAATGAGCCTTAAACATTATAATCCTATGCGATAAATGTGGCGACCCCACCTGCTTAGAAACTAATGGCGGCGGGGTCGTCATAAATGTGTGAAATATGGATAGATTTATGTACGAGGTGATTGCATTGTTTAAATTACCTACAATATGATGCGAACTTCCACCCACAGGGTCGGCAACCTATGCTTCATGTGTTTAGAATGTGCCATGAAGTGGATAGGAATAACGGCATGGAGAATGCTTACTCAGGCGCAGTTTTAAGATTACATCTACTAATGTATCTAGTTCCACTAATGTATCTAGTTTTCTATACGTTATCTCATGTAAAATGAAATTTCTATTGTACGAATGCGTCTACAGCATACTCATATGTTTATGTCAAACTATAACTTTTGATGTAAATTTAGGTTGTAGTTTGTAAAGTGTATCAAATAGAATGCTACCCTAACACGAACTATGGAAGTAATTTCCGGCTCAATCCGTTTGTAGGGAGGGACTAAAGGAATTACGAAAGACATAGTGATAGGGTGATCTTATTAGCATAGTTGTTTACTTAGCTATCTAGCTGTTTTATCGTTGTCAGGAGGTATCGACTGTAGGCATATAGAAACAAGAAGCTTTTGGTCAACCGGTTCAAACCCACATGTTTTGGCTGTTTATTTAATTGTTCAAGCTCCTGTCAAATAATGTAGACAACACTGTTTATTTCTGTTTACAAGTGGCATTGATTGAATATGTATACATTCAATGCTAGTAGCAAACACTAACAACATAATTGCAATACTGTACTAATGTGTTACTAAGCCCGTATTAAAGTATTATATTGTCAGTGCCCGTACTATATTTAATAACTGGAGAAAGAATAAATCCACTATACTGTAGTTACATGATGAGGAAAATAACTTCATTATAATGACCCATATCCTCCATTATCAGAGCTTTGTGTTGAGCGATATGTTGTGTTTTCACATCTGGTGTCAAAAGCATACACTTGACTCAATAAGTAGATAACGCAGCATTAACATCTGAATTATTTTGCCGTACATATCACGTCTGGACTCCTCGCAGCCACGTTCGTTTGCTTTGAATAGTAACATTTTATATTTTGACAAGAAATAAAATGGTCTACTGGGATATTTCACTCAGTACAGTGCTTTCCGTTATTGCATTATTACTGGCAACTATGTTGTATTGGTATCAAAGGAAAAGTTTTAGATACTGGAAAGACCGTGGGGTACAGTATATTCAGCCAACATGGATTTTTGGAAGCATAAAAGATCCATTGTTGCGGAAGAAAACTTGGACTGCTTTTATTGACGAGAGTTATAGATTGTTTAAAGACAAAGGATTCGGCGGGTTTTTCATTTTTGGAAGGCCTGCTCTATTCGTTTGTGATCCAGGTTTGATCGAGAAGATGCTGGTTCAAGATTTCCTCCATTTCCACGACAGATGGTCAGTAGGGAGCCGAGACATATTAACGAAGACTCTCATGTACCAGACTGGGGAAAGGTGGCGGACGATGAGGCACAAATTGGGACAATCCTTCACGTCATCAAAGATCAAGGGTATGTTTGAACAGATATTCAGGTCTGGGGATTATATGGTTGGCAAGATAGACAAGATCACAGAGAAAAATGAACCGGTAAAAGTAGAACCCCTACTGTTTGTGTTTGTGACTGAAGCCCTTTCCAGCTGTATATTTGGAGTTCAGATGACGTCGGATAGTCACCAAAGGCAACGCATCAAGGAGGTTGTGACTCTAATGCACGAAACGAGCGCTAGCACTTTAATATCGATGATGTTAGCCCTTGTCTATTCAAAACTGTTTTCGCTTTTGAAAATCCGAGCTTTGCCCAAGAAAGTAACTGAATTCTTTCTAGATTTGACCAGAGGTGCCATAGTATACCGTGATTTAAATCGTGTTAAAAGAAATGACTTTTTGCAAATGGTACTAGCTTTGAAGGACCAAGAAGAAAACGGGATTGTCGACAGCCCTCCGGACTTGACTGAAGAAGATCAGATTTTGAACCAGGTGAGGAACATCCGAAAGTCGCAAGTAAAGGAGAACATCTTCACTGAAGATTGCATCGCTGCTTTAATGATGAACTTTGTGTTTGCCGGGTTGAAGCCTTCAGTGGTCACTATTGGTTTTGCGTTGTACGAGATTGCAAAAAATCAAGAGATTAAGAGAAAGTTGCACTGTGAACTTGACCAAACTCTCTCGAAACATAAGAGATGGACTTACGAAGCAATCAGAGAGCTGACCTACATGGATATGGTCATCCAGGAAACTCTACGACGATGGAACGTCAACTTGGTACTCTTGAGGCAAGTGACTGAGGACTACAAAGTGCCGAAAACAGATCTGACCTTGCAAAAAGGAACTTTGGTTGAAATTTTGATGTCTTGTTTACATATGGATCCTCAGTATTTTCCCAACCCGGAAGAGTTTATACCAGAAAGATTTACAGAAAACAGTTACAAACCTACTTCTACATTCATGCCTTTCGGACAAGGTCCCAGGATATGTATCGGGGTCCGGCTAGCTGTCACGATGATGAAGGTGTGCTTGGCGAGGATTTTGTCTGAATATCAGCTGGAAGTGAGTGATAAAATGACATCACCTTTGGTGCTTGATCCACAAACCTACTACCCTAAAGTGGTTGGCGGAACCTGGCTCAACTTCAAGAGAAGGTCCTAGAAAACAAGTGGGAGTTACAAATTGTCGCTAGCAAGATGTAGTTTTAGAGAATATTTAGTGAAGTATATCAATTTGGTTTGGAATATTATTAAAAATCTAACTTGTATCGCTGTCTTACTCTATTTAATAAATAGTTTTTTGCATTGCATACAATAGTAATCACTATAACAAGATGGTTATGTTCGGATTGAGTAGGCATGTCGCAATTCAATAAATATTCAACGAGGGATTATGTTTGGTAATATAATATTATTGCTGTTGGAATTGAGACACGAAAAACTGAATCGTAGAGATACACATGTAAAACTACAATAAATATGTAATATCCTTTTATTTATTGTGTAGTAAAAGCGTAAAAAAAATCACGTTTACTTAACAAAGATTGACCAATTATAACAAAACGAGCTCAAATTACGAACCAATTTTACTCCTCCAAACAAAGAACTTGTACCACACCTCCCCTGCCAAAACACTAATTGAGTCCGCCATATTTAAATTAAACAACAGAAGGCATCAAGCGTGAAACGACATAAAAACCTGAAAGGTCTCCATTGTTAGCTGGAGGGGCGTCATGGCTATGGGAAAACGGTTCGCCATTACGACCATCACAGGCTATCGATTTTTAAATTTCGCTAATGCACACAAGCTAGTCGCATTCAAACAATCGACCGGAAGTAGGGCCTAGTTGTTGGGCGGAACATCCGGAAATGGTCGCTGGGGCGGAGACTTCGACCAACACATTTAAATTAAACTGCAGATAAGCCTACTGGCTTGTCGCTGCAGTATTTTGCATGTTGTTTTTATATGTTTCTCCCTGGGAGGTGCAGATAAGGTATTTGTTTTACATAAAAACAATGAATTTGCAAATACCAAATGCATAATGTATGTGGAAAGTGTATCTAAAATTTTGTTTTGGCTTCGCTAGCATGTTTTCTTGGGATATTCAGTTAAAGAGATGTGGTACCAAGATATATTAAAATATGTAGGATGAAATTGCTATTTAAATTATATTAGTTTTTTTTTCGGAGTATAGCAAGCATGTCATAGGGATATAGGCATACAAATTAATATATGCGGCGTAGTGCATAAAATTAACGTTGATTCGGCTGAAGTTCTTCTGAAGATCATCTGAATTTATCTATTTTTTTATATAATAAAGATTCTACAGATGGTATTTTAATTTAGTATTGGACTGTAATAATAATTATTAATACGAAACTTTATTTATAGAAGTTTCTTTTTCTTGTAGTTTTAATCAACATAACCTTACGTTTACAATTCCCTTCGTTTTAATAGTTCGAGTTAAAAGCGTGTTTGAATAACAAAAAGTCTTATTGGAATTTAAATTTGTGCCATCGACATTGACCCAGAGAGTTTTCCTATACACATCTATTGACATTTACGTTTACGTAGAAAGGTGAAAAAGTTCATTTGAACGAAATTAACTTTCTCATGCTAAAATAAACTCTGCAGAGGCCTCGGGAGCGGTCGTGAGACCTGTACTCTATACAATACTACCAATATACAAAACAATTGGTACTGTTAATACTGTTAATGCCAATCAATGAAATGGCAACCATACAAAGTAGTATTTAACGTAAAAAAAGATTACTTGCAATATCATCCGCTAAAAATGTAAACAATTGTATATATATATATATATATTATATAGTATATTATATATATAACTATATATTATTTATAGTGTATATATATATTATATATAGTGTATATATATATATTATATTTATTATATATTATATATACAGTATATATATAGTATATACATAGTATATATAGGCCCTAGTATATATAATATATAGTGTACAGTAGACACTACTCTTGCATTTCACACTCTCATATAAATCATTGTCTCAACACGACATTTTTACTAGTATTTTATCCTTAACCAAAAATTTTTAAGCTTGCATGAATCATCCCACCTTTTATATAGAAACACATAAAATCCCACAAACCGTCCAAGTACGTGTGAAACTGTGTATTTTACCCACGAGAATAATCCTCGTGTAAATATGTGTGAGAACTCGGGTTTGAGGCAAGGTGGAGAATTAACTGAATAATTAGCGTGGGTGGACTGGAGTAAGGCAAATCAAGACATAAATCTTTGCAAGCAGGCGCTAGGTTACAATAGGCATTGCTGAGGGGTCATAAATAATCAAATTATACAGCTATAAACACCTAGACCGCTGTACACTCAGATATTATCTGCCGCTTCCACCAAAACCGCAATTTATTCCGGAAATTTGAATTTAAAATAAATTTTGATGGGTTTCCTATTGTTCGCGGTAACTACCTTTCTGCAGATTATTGTTATCTGGGTAATTTCTGGTCTGAATCAATTGAGTTATAAATTTTAGGTAAGTGGTGAAATTAGGGCTTCGGTACGTTGGTTTTGACTGTCATAGATGATAAGTTGCACCGCTCGGCGAGTTTACTTAAACTATTGTGAACATATTTATAACCTTTACTTTTTCAAGATACCTATATTTGTAACTACAATGAATATCTTAAAAGTACAGTATACACGACTGAAAAACCACTGGTAAGAAATATTTAATTAGTGCTGTTATTAATTTTAATTTAACTTCCCTAATGCAATAACTGTTACCTCATTCATATAACATCATCATCGGTAAACATAAAACAGTATAAACCACCAATTTACTTAAAGAGTCTATAATAAGCAATTACTGGTTATGGCGAGGTAGATTGCGTATTTCGACATCCTTGTAAGAAACATAATCTACTGCAGTCAACCACTTTCATTTTCTTGAAACCACAAGTGATATAAAGAATTTCTCTATTACAATGTTCGCAATCCTTATTTATTCGTCATATTCATTCGAAAACAATCTACAGGGACTTAACTAACTAATGTTAATCACAGGTGAAAGAGGGGACAATGTACAAACAAACTAATAATCCACATTTATTTAAATTGTTTGAACAACCAGTTTACATTAACTAATTTACTTTGTAAGTTTATCCTTTCTCAAAATATCAGCAACAGGTTGATTGTAGCTCAAACTAACTGAAGAGGGTCAGTAAAACAAAAATGTATGTACAGTATTGTAAAATCAAATACTAGTACATTAAGTCAACAATGGTAACAAATAAAAAAGTAACAGAACTATCTCAACAAAATAAGATTGCAATTTCTGCGTACTGCATTAAAGTAAAAGATCGTGAGATTTAAATAGTTCGCTTCCCCACTTAAAATATAATCATGATAAAATAATAACACTTTAAAGAGAAAGTAATAAACTAAAATTTTGTTAAAACAAAAGGTTACTTGGTTACTTAATTAGTAGATTGTTTATGATTATTGGCGTGTTAACACAGCGAAAAATAAACGAAGGGAGGAAATAGGATTTTAGACTGCATCACACTATATGATGGCTCATTTATCTATTTAATTTTGTATTAATAATGTCCAATAATCTATAGCTGGTTCGTATAAATGGGATGTCTACTTTAGTATCCAGAAGTCAATGCTACAAGCCTCCTACCCAACAGAAGAGTGTTGAATGCTGAAGTGCTGCCCCCACGCCGCTTCCAAAGCACCGCCCCCAGTCTGCCCCTCCACTGCCAAAGTAATTAATTTGGCCCGGCCATTGCACAAACTGACCTAGCGTTTTTTGGCAACAGTTTGTTTGCCCTTGACAGTGGTTCTGTCTGACTCAAGACTGCAAAAACTGACAATGACTCAGTCCGTGAAATAGAAGGCCAAACTTTCTTCTGAATCAGCGAATATGAAGTAACAGCGACACGGATGTTTACAATTATTAAATTGAAAAAAAAGAAAAAAACTGTTATAGCAATAATCATGTTTAAAAGTGCATTTTATGCAAAAAATTAGCTTTACATTGAACCATTGACTTTTAAATACTGAAATAGACTAGGTTTGAGATGATAGGTATCTTCATTTGTTGAGAAAATTCTTTTTTCCTTTTGGTTTTAATTACAGAAGATAGCTTATAATCGAATTTCTTTATTAATATTAAGATAATTCAACCTGGTAACATAACGAGAAATTAAATTAAAAACTTAAGCACAAACTACATACACCGAATTGAAATATGCCTTCATCTTCAATTGATTGATGGCAACGCTACAGTTAAAGGAGTACGTTTTAATCCATGACGAATCCATCTAAATCTTTGACCATATTACAAATGATGAAAAATAATTTAGTATGTATTACACGTATTTAAAATATACATTTTATTTAATATGAATTTATTTGAATTATTTTAGTTATAATGTATAATGGGAAACCCCTGAAGGCTTCCAAAGTAATGATAACTCAAATTATGTTTAGTTTAATAGTCATTGATTGTAGTTATCAACACTTTCTATCGGTGAAAACAATAGGCTTTAGAAATAATATGTTCTTTGCTAGAAATAAACCTTAGAAAAGTTACGAAAAAATCAAGTCGCCTAAGTCAATGAGAGAGAATATCTTAAGATTAGTAATCCGTCTGTAATCCTTGAAATTTTAATTAATTGCTGTAATACTCTTAATCTCGATCCCTCTAAATTAAAGCTTTCCAGATTTTGAACTGAATCTTCCTAATTATAAGATGAAGGTACTTTTACTAGGAAAAGTAAACTATACATTGCTTATGAGCACATACTTTTGATAGTAAATAATAATTACATAGCACACAATACAGTGTATATTGTTGTGGTTTATAGTTTTATAAAAATCTATTACTTGTAACTGTTGTAAAGAAAAATACTTTGTTGTCTAAAAATTTTAATGTGTAACTATTTAGAACATAATCACAAAGAAAAATTATCTATTTAAGCCTGTTTATAAATAGGTTTACAACTAAGATTAACAATATCAATAATTGGGAACTATACAAAGTGTAAAGAAAAAAAAAGTATTTATTTTGGATTTGATTTTTGCTCATAATCTGATTACAAAAACTACGACATTTGCATTATTTTTATTTTTAAGGTAAAGTTTTTTCCACAATATATGGTTATTAAAACAAAAGCCAATTGCATAATTT